CTGAGCTTAACACTTCCAGTCTCATTCTTCTGAAACGGTATTGGGAAGCTTCCTGGGCACACTCAAAATAGAGGACATACATCAAGTTCTCCTTTGGGTTTAAGAAATATGACTCAGAGAGAAATGATCAATTGGAAACGGTCAACGAGAGAAGAATAGTATTCGGCAAGAAAAGAAAAAATATTAACCAAGAGAAGAAAGGTTGAAGATACACGCTGTGTGAGCCAGGATGAAAATCACTCCTAGCCTTTTGATAGTGAACATTTTGATCAGCTGTCTGATGTCCACCTGGCTTCCTACTCTGATGTTCTCGCGGAGCACATTGGTTGCTTCATTTTTGCTGGTGTGAGAAAATTAAAATACAGGTATGACTTCCAGAAAAAAAATATCAGCAGACTTGTGAACTGTCTGATGCTTTTCTCTTTATGATATGTAAGACTTATGTAGTAGGTCCATTAACTCTTTGTGGATCATATTTATTGCAAACAAGTTATTCTCATATTTCACTAATAATCCATCATCCCCACTAATTTGAAATTGCCACCAATGCTTTATACTTAGAGAGGACTGCTAATAATGCACTTCCCCATATGACAGACAGGCTCTAAAGATGGGCTCAGGGGTGGACTCAGAGTAATTCCAAACTAATTCAACAACGACATTCAGGAAACTAGTAGTTTAAAAAACAAACAAACAAATTGGTGATTCAGCAAGATTTTACCTGAAAATAATTTAAAAAATAATAATCAATACTCTTTGGACTTAGAGTATGTGGCATAAGTTTTGAGTGTGGAGCATTTCTAAAATACAATATAACTGAGACTAACTTTAGCTATGATTTTTTTTTAATGTGCATCAAATCCCATCCCTTTGTGTTATGGATGGCTTTAAAAAAAAAAAAAAGCTTTCATTTCATCATAATCATTCACTATAAAGCTTATAAAAATAAATATAAATTACTCTAGTGACCTATCATCACCGTCAAAACTGGGTTCCTTCTGGAAGCCTTGAATCTGGCCACTCTCAGGGACTATAGGACAGAATACACTAGGTTCTCTTGAGTTTGGCAGAGATAGATTTTTGCAGGCCAAGTGCACACATCTTGAA